CTATTCTATTCTATTCTATTCTATTCTATTCTATTCTATTCTATTCTATTCTAAAGCTGTGATTGTCTGATCTGATGTTCTCATGTGACCGTGCAGAAACAACTGAAGCAGCAGAATATGTGACGCTGTAACCACAAGCTTCGTCTMCAGCTCTTACCTTTCCCGTAGAAGAATTTGTGGTAGTAGTACGCTCCGAGATCGATGTGCTCGATGATGTAGCGTTTGACCTTCTCCCGGTGGATGGGCTGGCTTTCTCGAGGCACCTCCAGGACAGAAACTCCTGCGTTGGTGCAATGGGAACTTAGAGAGGACTCAAACGAGCAGCTCTCTGAAACGCCGCTGTAGTTGGCACTGTTGGCTCTGGAGAGGGAGATCTTCCTCTCGCCCTCGCCGCCAATCTCGTTGCGAAAGTACGAGCAGCTCAGCACCATGTTGTTGCTCTTCCCGTCCCCCTCATCTGCATCCAGGTTCTCCTTGGGGTTCAGGTCCTCCCTGCTTCCGAGTGGAGACTCGAACAGGGGAGTGTTTGCCTCCGCTCCAGGTCCGAGCCCCGTCCCGCCTCCCAGCACTCCGCCGGCCCCGATTCCAGCCGAGGCGGCTGAAGCTCCGGTGGTGGTGTTTTTCCTCTGGCTCAGGTTAGCCCTGCTGGCCACCGCTTCGCTGATGTTAAAGAGCACACTCTGGACGTCGTAGTGCGCAAAACACTTCTGAAAGCTGAGCGGCCGCCGGTCGTCCTCCATGGAGAGCCGCAGAGCGTCGCTCTCGCTCTTAATGGTCCTCAGTTTCCTGAACAGAGACGTTTCCGTTGACTCCGACTTCAGACGCCTCATGAACGACTTCTCCTGCTCCCGGCTGTAAAAGACAGAACTGTCCATGTAGTCGTAACCTGGAATGTGGACGATCTCACCCCTGGCGATTTGCGCTGCCGTCTGCAAGCTCGGAGACAAGGCGGCGTCGCAGCGCAGCAGCTCCGGAAAGCCCAGGGGCGGAATGCTACGATGGTCCAAGCTCTCCACTCGGTAGCCCCTCAGCATGGTGAAGAAGCCGTCTCCGGTAAGGCCCTGGCGGTCGATGGAGGACGTGCTGCCGTACTCTCGGTGCAGAGAYGCCCCCGTGTTTGGGTTGACGGCGTTCTGGTCCATTACGTCCTCCGAGTCGATGTCGCTGATGGTGACGTCGCTGTTGCTGCGCTGGCGGATGGGGTGGAGGCCTTTCAGAGGGGACTGGCCGAGCAGGTCGCTCAGCGTGTATTTGTCAGAGTAGTCCACCTCCACGCAGACCTCTTCGCCTTGCTCGAGTAGTTCCACAGTGTGTTCCTGCTGTCCGTTCTGAAAAACCGGGATCATGCTCTGGTAGTTCGGCGAAGGCCGTCCATCCCATGCGTCTTTCCTCGGCGGCCACTCTGTCACTCTGGCCCTGACGCCCATTTTAGGCATGGCTGGAGTACCATTTGTTTTGCCAGCGCCGTCAGATTTCACCTGCATACTTGAGGCCGGCGGTCCCATACTTCCATTCAAGGCCTTGAGTTTCCTGCTGAACAGCTCCTCCGACTGCATGGCTCTGGAGTACTCTTCTGGACCTCCCACCAGTCCCACAAGGGTTGATTTGTTATCGGCCACAGGGCTCAAAATACTCATATCCTGCCGGCGGACTCTTCGAGGAGCGGACCTTCAGGAAGAGTCCTCATCGCATCGTGCGGCCTGCTAACTGGCAAGTGGAGAGGGATCCCTTTTCTCGAGTTACAGAAGCAGCCGTCATCATAACTCATAGAGGGCAGGTGGCGTCACATCGGGCCGAGCGCCCTTTGTGTGTCAAGGACGAGGGTCTGGAGAGCGCCGACTTCTCTTACAGCATGACACCGACGTGGACGAACAGCTGGAAACAAACGCAAAGAAAAACTGTTCAGCACACAGAAAAATACAAAAATAAAATCAACCATTCCCCTAATTGTTCAATCAATCCCATTTTTTCTTTGGATCTGATTAAGTTGGTCAGAATTATTCATATTATAAGACTTGAGGTCAAATTTAAAAACAGACGTWTGATACTAGATGTAATTTACTAAATCTTTACTGAGTCTTTAGTCTACTTCACCACCATAACTTCATCAAATTCTTTCTAGTTTGGTCTGATTTATTTGGAAACAAAACCTAAAAACAAAATTTGTCTRAAGAAGATGAAGAAGCTGAAATAAAAACGTTAGAAAATTCTACCAAAATTAGCGGAACACTTGCTAAAAAGTGGGAAAATTTTAGCTAAAAGCTAAAAAAAATGACATAAGGTTTTCATNACATAAGGTTTTCATAAATTATAAAAATATTAGCTGTAAGGTATAAAATGCTAGCTAAAAGAATCAAAATGCAAGCTAAATAAAAAGCAAAATACTCGCAAAAAACAACTAACCATAGAAAAATAACTGAAAGTAGGAAAATATTAGCTGAAAGGAAAAAGTTATAAAACATTAGGTAAATGTATTAAAACACAAGCTAAAAGAAGCGAAACATTTGCTTAATGTTGGAAAATTGATGACAAAAGGTTTTCTTTAATAATAAACATATTAGCTATAAGCTATACAATGGTAGCTAAAAGTAGCAAAATCCAAGCTAAAAAAGCTAAATGCTTGCAAAGTAACATTCTACATGTAGCAGAGAGCTACCAAAAAGTAACAAAGTATTAGCTAAAAGAAAAGTTATAAAACACTAAGTAGAAGTAGCAAAGCTCAAGCTAAAAGAAGCTAAACATTTACTAAAAGTAGAAAATGAAAGCTAAAGATAACAAAAGGTTTGCAAAAAATATAAAAAATTTAGCTAAAAGGTTTTAAACACTAGATAAAAGTAGAAAAACATCAGCTAAAACAAAGAAAACCCCTAGCTGAAAATAGTAAAATAACAGCAAAAAGTAGCAAAAAGGTAGGTAAAAGTATCAAAACAAAAATAAAAAGGTAAAAACACCATCTTCATAAGTGGGTTTGAAACAGAAAAGTTTTTAAAAGAATTAAAAAATCTCAATACAGATCAGTGGGGAATATAACTGTAAACAAAGTTAAATATTAAAAATAAAAAGATAAAAGTTACAGAATAATTTAGCACCCGTTTCATGAGTGTTTTTGATAAATGAATGCCTAAAATAGCCTAAATTGTGAAGTAGATACAAAAACCACACAAATAAAAAAGAGGAAAACAGCAGCGTGACTGCTGACTCGACGTTCACACAACAAACAAACAGCTGAGCTGATSTCAGCAGTTTTTATTTATTAACCTGTACGTCTGAAGGGGAGAGAGAACGAGAGAAAATGGCTTTGATTGTCCTTGAGACGAACACTGTTGCCTCTGGGGCATTTAAAATGTCACATTTCACATACAACATCCTGCACATGGAATCCATTATTGTACAGAAGCACTTTCCCAGTAAAAACCCAGTAAAAACTGGAACAGATGATAAGAAGAAAAAACAAATACTGGGGAAAACAAGCTCTTATTTATTTCGGCTCATGCTATTAGGTGCATTGTACTTTCAAACCACTGGGATTACATAAGTGAGATGTTCCGGTGGATTCGTCTCTTTAAAGCCTGGCTTCWGCACGGCGGATCACACCATCCCGCCCTGCAGTATACGAGGACACTGGGAGTATCTGCACTGACCTAAATGCTTTTTTCTTGTTCTTCAAGGCTGATGTTGCTTTTCAGTGAAAACCTCCCATGAGTTATTAAGTAATCCTTCCACATCACAGAGAACACGGCACTAAAGCTCCAGTATTTGCTTCAGTGAAGATAGGAGCTACTCTCTTTCTACGTTTTCATGTGAACATGGCAGATAAATGCAGGCCTGGTGTCCTCCGCTCTCCCCCCCACCCCCTCCATCCCCCCGGCTCTATTCACATAACTTCAGCTGCCAGACGACTGTTTACATTTCTCCTCATTGTTTACTGCCGAGGAGGACGATAAACTATTTTTGAGGAGGGGAAACAAGAATTGGGCCACTTTAAGATTAGCTGCCAGACTACAGCCTGAACGAGACAAGCTGGAAACATTTGAATAATAAAGTATTCACTTCTGCCTGCATGGATAAAATACAGATTAATGCAGTGGTTCCCAAACTTTTTATCTTCTGACCCACAAAATATCCATGGCAAAAACTTGTGACCCCAAATATTAC